CGAAACGAGCGCTTCCAAGACGTTAACGTCATCAGACATGATCGATTTGGGGGTGGTTCTGTTATGGTGTGGGGAGGCATCACTGTTGCTGGAAGAACGGCTTTACATGTTGTTGCAGGGCGTGTTACAGGCCAGTACTACCGGGACAACATCTTGGCAGTCCATGTTGTGCCGTTCGCACGACGTCATGGCCGCCGTTTCATCTTCCAGGATGACAACGCAAGATGTCACAGGGCCAGGATCGTTACAGGTTACTCCAACAACAGAACATCACCACATTACCTTGGCCAGCACTGAGTCCCGACTTCTCCCCAATCGAGCATGTCTGGGACATGCTTGGACAGAGGTTACGTCAACGTCAACAACGTCCTGCCAATGTCCAAGAACTTGCTGCTGCGTTGCAACAGGAATGGGACAATCTGGACCAAAATGACCTTAGACGTCTCATTAGAGTATGCCACGTCGGATCAATGCTTGTTTGGCAAACAGAGGAGGATTTACCCGTCACTGACTTGGTTGTGATGCTGTGGTAACTTTGCTGTTTGACCCCGGGTATCATTTTACCCTTATAATGGTCAGTCTGTGCCTTACTTAGTCTAACGATCATTTGGAATAAATCGATGAATGTGAACTTCATTTCATTTTGTCATTTGTTTCTTCGTCAGTTTCATTAGGTGACTTTAATAACACTTAAAAATCAAATATCCCCTACTTTTTTTGAATAGTATATATTATATGAAATACTGTGTATATTTTTAAAACCAATTTTTAAAGCTGTAAACTAGTCTTTATAGGTGTTTTGTTGTCGTTATTAAAATCCACGGTTTCATTGAACAAGCACATCAATCGTATAAATGAATTTAAAATTGATATGTTCTTTTTACTTGAATGTACATCGACACAATCTACATATACACTTCCCTCACCCCATCGATTCGTTTTGAAGACGCAGCAGACTGCAAGACGTTCACCAAGACGTCTCCACACACGTTGACGGCCATCAGCGTGATACAGATGAAAGCGACTCTCATCACTGAAGAGCACACTTTGCCAGTCTACTCTTCTCCATGTCTGGTGTCCTTGAGGCCATATCAAACGCCGCTGACGGTGATGATCCCTGAGGATAGCTCCAACATAAGGTCGTCGTGCACGGAGTCCTTCTCCTAGACGACGTCTTACGGTGTTGGCACTTACTGGTCCTTGTCTTCCGACGACTGCTGCACCTGTTCGAGTCGCTGGGCGGAATCTGTCACGCAGATGAGAAGGGATGTAGCGGTCTTGAGCCTTGGTTTTAACGCGTTGTGGACCAGGACGTTGACGGTCACGTGTTGATCCAGTAACTCGAACACGTTCCACCAACCTTACAATAGTGGGCTGGTGGCAATTGAAGTGACTGGCAATAGCACGTGTAGACATGCCAGCCTTGGACATTCCCATGGCTTCATTCCGTTGACTTTCAGTAAGTCTCGGCATCTCTAGCTCGATTCCTTCACACGTCCAACAACAAATTACGACAGATTGACGTTTCACAGTTCTTGTACTACACATTAAGTTGAAAACAAGGGCTCACACACAATGCTGCATGTGAATATTGGGTTTTTCATGTGCATCTCGTGCAATTTTTTTTTTTGCACGGTGATGATGTAAGTGAATTTCTTTTAAAGATGCATTATGTAATTTGACTGAAGTGTCAATATATTCCTTTATCATTATCTATTTTTAAACTATAATATTTAAACTATCAGCTCTTTATCTTAATCTTTAGATAAGTCACATATGTCATGTTATGGATTTAATAACTGTCTAAATGATCTTATATAATAGTGGTATTATTTTTTTTGAAGGTTTCATTAGGAATTGCGCTACATAGAAAATGCCAGTCTTAGCTCAAGTTTAAAATTTCCAACAGTTCTCAAGGCAAATTTTAAGCCACTGAATAATGCAAACCGCCATAACCAATGGACATTGTGGACCGAGTTACGTTTGAGTATGTCTTGCAGCCTCCTTCCACAATTCCATCACATATCAGCACGGTAGCGGGTTAAAATTTGCATGTAGCTTATATCGATATAAAAAAATGACAACCTTCGGACGGGGGGCAATTAAATATTCAAGTTAGTGGGACAAACAACCGTGATCTGGGATTCAGTAAATAACTCTTTGAAAAGAGTTATATTCTACTGGACTGAAACAACAACCAATACATCAAAGTAGGGTGAAACGACTTAAAGCAAACCCAGCACCCCTTGTCCACTTAGGCTCGCCCAGATAACTAGGCCAAACATGGCTGTTTCCAGTAGTAAGATGTCAACAAACTTCGATTTTACCAAGGAGAAAGGCTATAAAACTTGACCTGAACTTAGTTCTCACAAGAAAGAAAGCAATGGGGTGACCATTCGAGGTATTTCACGAAGTTTTAGCCATTTTAATTAAAATTTAAAGAAATGACAAGCAATTTTCGAGTCGTGGCAGTACCTGGAACAGCCAGTAGCTTGTGTTGATGTACATTCAAGCCTCTATCTCTCTCTGGGTGCCTAATGGATTGGATGTATCCAATAGCCAATAAGGTGGAGGATCTGGTAAGGGATAACGTGTAGTCCTTCGGATGATACGAAAACCCAAAGTTTCGCGTAAAATAACTCTTGATAGTTGTAATTCTAAGTACGAGTAGGCCGTAGCATCCATGTCCGTGTAAACAATTTCCCTCATTGCACACTGCGTGGCGTGTGCCCTTCGCCAGTCAGTACAGAAGAGTAGGACGTTAAACCCAAGTCATATAATACTCGTCAAAAATACTCATTTCATATTGTAACACTTCAACTATAGTCCCATTTAAGAGTGATTGAAACCATTTCGTTCTTAATACTATTAACTTCCAAGCTATATATACACAGATTAATGTTCAGTTTGATACGAAGTAGTGAGTGATCTAAAAACTCATTAAACTTTTAATTGATGTCAGACAATGGGCTGTGACAGAGATTACTTTGAAGAAGATTAAAGAATTAGTTATTAACTCACAAGCCATTTAGTTGACACAGCTCATTTAAGTTGGTGAAAGAATCTATTTAAAACTAGTTTCTACCTTGGAGATAGGTGATCATTAATTGTATATATTTTATTTTCTGTAGTCACTGTACAAGTGTCGCATATTGATTGGTCTGACTAGTTGAAGTGTATTATAGGCTTGGCAGATTGTTTCAAAGTTGTACACATTTTGACTATAAAATTTGGGTAAGTAATGATTGTAGATTTATGACGGTGTTTCAGTGTTGGTAAATATTTAATCTAACAAGTATCGTGTAGAGAACTCGACGGATTGGGAGGGGGGGGGGGCGTCCTTTCTTAATATGTAATTTGACTGAGTAAAGATCTAGATATTAGTGATGGTGTAATGGTTTAATCAAATACCGAATTCACAAAGAATTTTGTAAACCACCAACATTTATCAAGAGCGGAATATCCAAATCTATATATATATATTTGTGACTGTCGTTTGTCTGTCTGTCTGTCTGTTCGGGGTGGGCGGCTACACTAGGTCTGCCCCGAGTCTGAAATTTGGGGTATAGGGGTAGCTCGGACCGGGGAGTAAATTAGGCCAGGTGGCGTTAGTCTACCACTTCCGGTTTCGGAGTTATGACCCCCCGAGCGAAGTCTGTCTGTTTGGGGTTGGCGGCTACATCTGCCCCGAGTCTGAAATTTGGGGTATAGGGGTAGCTCGGACCGGGGAGTAACATAGGCTAGGTGGCGTTAGTCTACCACTTCCGGTTTCGGAGTTATGACCCCCGAGCGAAGTCTGTCTGTTCGAGGTTGGCGGCTACACTAGGTCTACCCCGAGTCTGAAATTTGGGGTATAGGGGTAGCTCGGACCGTGGAGTAACATAGGCCAGGTGGCGTTAGTCTACCACTTCCGGTTTCGGAGTTATGACCCCCGAGCGAAGCCGGGGTTGGCGCCTACACTAGGTCTGCCCCGAATCTGAAATTTGGGGTATAGGGGTAGCTCGGAACGGGGAGTAACATAGGCCAGGTGGCGTTAGTCTACCACTTCCGGTTTCGCAATTATTGTCCCCGAGCGAAGCCGGGTATCCTGCTAGTATAGAATATTATAGCTGGAATGAGTATAACAGTCCTCTCAATGCTAAACTATAATTATTTATCTCCTGATTGTGTTCCATGAATGTAATTTCCGGTTACGGTTGCATCCAACAAAAACGATAATTTCTCCCATGTCGGGCACACTGCCCTGTACCAATGACAGTGGCGTACCAGGCCAAAAATTTTCGATGAACTTTCTGGTCCGCGATCAAAAAACAGAGCGAGCCAACGGCTTACTCACTGAGCCACCACGCCCGCTGATCGGATAGAAGCCAAATTTGTAGAATAAAGTTTTTATAATCAAACTGAATTGGTTGGATACATTTATAAAACATGTTGATTTTCAGATGATGTTAATATTGGTTCTAATTCTCTCTCTCTCTCTCTGTACTAAAACTAGTCAACTAGAAACGTTAGAAAAATGTCAGTCAAGTCGTCCACACGAAAATTCTGGTTAAGTCGTCCACACGGCATTGGTTGACTTGTCCACACGACGATGTAGAAATACGTTGGTTAAGTCAGTCTTCACGACATTGGGGCACAGGAAGTATTCATTGTCAGTATAATATGAGTGTTTGATATGAGTATAGTTTTCTACTATCGCCAAACTAGAGCGGGGGTATTTATAAATAACAAACAACAAAATAAATCACTTTATTCAATAACAATTTTATTAATAAATGACGTCACTACACAGCCACTAAACAAACAACAAAATAAATCAATTTATTCAATAACAATTTTGTTAATAAATGCCATCAATACACGGCCACTAAAAATACGACGCGCCTCTATCCGATACACGTTTCTTCCCCGGTTCATTTAATTCCAATTTTATAGATAATTCATGAAAGGGGGAAAAATTAGCTGTGCATTTAATCTTTGTTTTTCTTTTCCAGAAACAAAATTTGGATTGAAAACTAGAAATGGCAAATCATGACGACCCTAACACAAACTGTAAATGTGATATTTGTGGTCACTCATTCACAAGCCGTTCGCGATTAAATAATCACATTCTACTTCATACTGGCGAGAAGCCATATAAATGTGATATTTGTAGCAAGTCTTTTGGTTCTAGATATACTCTACAGGAACACACCAGAACTCATACCGGACAGAAACCATATTCTTGTGATGTTTGTTTTAAATCATTTACCAGAAAAGGTACTCTGCGGCAACACACCGAAACTCATATTGGGAAAGGTCCCTTTTCTTGTGATGTTTGTAGTAAATCATTTACGTATCTCAGAACCTTAACAAGACACACAAAAATTCATACCGGTGAAAAACACTATTCGTGTGATGTTTGTAGTAAATGGTTTAGATCTAATTGGTCTCTACAACTGCATATCCGTACCCATACTGGATCAAAACCGTTCATTTGTGATGTGTGTAGCAAATGTTTTGCAGCCAGGAGTGTTTTAGTAGCTCATACTAGAATCCATACAGGGGAAAAACCCTTTTCTTGTAACGTCTGTAGAAAATCGTTTACAACTTGGAGTACATTACAACAACACACCCGGACCCATACTGGGGAAAAACCCGTATCCTGTGATGTTTGTAGAAAGTCCTTTACAACTACCAGTTCTCTATATAAACACATCAGAACCCATACTAGAGAGATACGCCTTACATGTAACATTTGTAGTAACTCGTTCGCAACTCTTGATACTTTAAAGGCACACGCAAAAATTCATACAGGAGAAAGGGCGTTTTCGTGTGATGTTTGTACCAAATGTTTCAGGACTAATGCGTGTCTAAATCGACACATGAGAATACATACTGGCGAAAAACCCTTTTCTTGTGATATTTGTAGTAGATCGTTTGCGCATAGGAGTACTCTACAGGCACATACCATGATTCATACTGGTGAAAAACCCTTTTCATGTAATGTCTGTAGAAAGTCATTTACAACTAGGAGTTCTCTACAGCGACACACACGGGTCCATATTGGAGAGAAAACCCTTTTGTTGTGATATTTGTAGAAAGTCATTTACAACTAGGAGTTCTCTACAGCGACACACACGGATCCATATTGGTGAGAAACCCGTTTCTTGTGATGTTTGTAGAAAGTCATTTACAACTCGTAGTGCTCTGTATCTACGTACCAGAAGAAACCCATACTGAATAGAAACCCGTTTCTTGTGGTATTTTTAGTAACCCTTTTACGGCTTTTAGAACATTGTTATAAATATTTTACTACGGCTTTTAGAACTTTGTTATAAATATTTTAATACTAAAAGTTCTCCACAGAGAAATACCAGAAGTCATACGGAAGATAAAACCCGTTCCTGTCAAATTTGTAGTAACCTTAGTCTACAACCAGATCACTTACTATTGAATATACCTCGTCATACATTTATTTATTTTCATCTGTCAACCATAAAAATATATTATATTAGTTAATTTACAATAATAAAGACTGGAGAAAAATGAAGGAATTTTCTAATTCGTCAATGGTCGAAAATGACCTAGGCTGTGTCAAGTGGATGTCCCACCCATCTCTCTCTCTCTCTCTCTATCTCTCTCTCTCATTCAAACCCGCCCGTTTAGATGTACATGGATTTTTGATGCTAGATACGATAACAACCGGCATATAAATGACCGAGATAACTTTGTTTGGAAACCATTTTAACTCCACCTTTCCACCTTTGATATAAATTTAAGGTCTTACCAGTCTCGCCAAGAATATAGATATAGCAACATAGCAGGATTAAAACATTGACTTTTGAGATTGTAGCCAAGAAACATTCTCCAGCTGGAAGTTTTGCAGATATTAGCCTAACGTTCTATGGAAGGTCGATTCTTTTGGTCTCCCCACATGAACAAATTTGTCCCGTCTCAATTAATTACTTGTACACGAGATTGACGTTTCAAACGTTTGTCAAATATCGGCATAAGCAGGACGATTTCAGACAATAATTTGTTATGTGACTTCTTACGATGCTTCGATCCTCTGTGGAGCGTCATATTAAAGGAGCTACATCGCTATTTTTTTAAACCCACCCCATGAAAGAAGTAGCTATAGGGCGTCAAACTTTGGGTGACGAAAAATGGGGAATTTAGACAGGCTTTGATATCCAGTCCGTATACAGATCTCGTTCGCCAGAATCGTCTGAAGTTAATATTGTGGTAACAACACTGAGTCATCGATAAACTGTGTGAGTTTGGTCTTTCTGCTACGTATAGTAAAGGTGTAAGGACTTGCCAAAGTTGATATTTGAGAAAAGACAGATTTTGGCAATTTCACCATATGAAAAATGTTTTTTCAATTTTCTCATACAGGAATTGAAAGATTTATCTAATATTGCACATTTATGTGTTTTGGGACTATCCCAACTTATAAACCAAATTTGGTCAAAATCTGTGATTGAAGCCTTAGCACCTTCTGCATGGTTTTCTCGCGGACACGCTCTTATAAGTCTCGCCAAAAATATAGATGTAGCTACAGAACAGGATTAAAGCATTTTGAGATTGTAGCTAAGAACAATTCGCCAGCTGGAAGTCCTGCGGATATTGAGTCTAATGTTCTGTGGAGGATCGATTCTATTGGTCTTCCCACATGACCAAATATGTCCCATCTCATATTATTAATTGTACACGGGATTGGCGTTTCAAACTTTTGTCAAATAAATAAATGGTAATAGATTGAGATTTATAAATGATATATATTGTATTTTCACCAATATGTTGATCAATCAATTTTTCAGCGACGTATCTGTGTCTAATAGCCCCTAAACCTGTTCCTGTGGCTTTAAATAGAATTCTTTTAAACCAGACACCCATTGACCAATGACATACATGACCTAGACTGTGTTAATGTATTTAAAATATCACCCTGAAACACACCCAATTAATACCCAAAGTAAATTCCTTAACATTGTATTTCCATAATACAAATAAAAAAATGGGTAAAAACATCAAATATGTGTAAACACATGAAGAATAAGCTGTTGTTTATAAAGAAAAAATAGCACAGTCTTCACATTCACTGTCGTGAAAAGAGAACATCTTCTCTTTTGGTCATAATAAATATAAATGTAAGTTAAAACAGCAGGTCCAGCTGATTGATATGGATGGGGTTAATTTGAGGTAGATTAAAATATTAATCCATAAAGTCAAGACACCAGTCAGATAGTTAATAAAACTCAATTAACTAAATAGATAAACCTTTAAAAACATATTTTCATTAATGACCCTTATTGTAATTTGACCTATTGATTCAATAGAATTGCCGTTGGCTGTGAAGGGGATCAGTTTGGGAGAGATTAGGGTATTGAATAATAAAGTCAAAGCAATGCCACATTGTTGACAAAACTCAATTGACTTAATACGCTGATAAATTACCTGACAACATTTCATTCAATTTAACCAATCAGGGTCTTGCTAACAAGAATTGTTCTAGTAGCCAATGAAAATATACCATCTTGTTTTTTTTTTTGTAAAGCAATAAGTTCTTTAGCACAAATATATTTGTTACCATACTAGTCAACGATATCAACTTAGGTGGAAGTGGACGTAAAACTCTAGAAACGAACGAACCAAGCTGTTCAGGGCGACCATGTTCACAAGCAGTGTATAGCATAAGAATCGTATGGAGTTTAGCACCAGTCTCTGAATCTTTGTCTATCTATTGTGTTTATTTCATGAAGATAGCTGGTCTTTGACAGTTTGAAAGCGGTGTCCATTCTGAATATATGATTTTGGGTAAGTATTTAATAATTATTTAGAGATTGGTGATGATAGTATATTTTCATCCGAAAAGACTTTGTTGGAATTTGCATATTTATGTATTACAACTACTGTTCTCGTGATAATCAACTAAACAATATTAGAATTATTTATGTTGTTAGGGATTAACCACTCTCGCTCTCTCTCTCTCTCTCTCTCAAAGACAACTCATCCCAAGACCACTCGGCCCAATAGACAACTCATCCCAAGACAGAAGACCACTCATTCCAAGTTTAGAAGACCACTCATCCCACGCATGGTTGTTTCAATACGTGGGCCGAAATATAAGATCACTAGGAGAGAGAGAGAGAGAGAGAGAGAGAGAGAGAGAGATGGGGCTTAACGTCCACTATGTCATTTCGGGAATAACATGGTTTAATTTTATTTCAATAATTCGCTTGCTCGTAGGGATCTTTAGCAGTGGGAGGAAACCGGAGAACCCGGAGAAAACCCACGAAGTTGGACAGACGACCTTACTCCTTGTCACGTACAACCGGGGATTCGAAACCACGCCAGTTGACTCAATGACAGGCCGTATGATACAGCACGCACGTGCTAACCATTCGTTCCCCCCCCCCCATTCCATCAACGATTTATTAAAGAATTTATTACATGAACAATTTTCAAGAATCAAAAAGTTAATAATATAAACTAATCTTTATTACATCAACTGTTTATTAAATAATATCTGTTTAAATATCAACAGTTATTTAAATAATAATGTATTGAACATCAACTGTTATTAAATAAATAAAATAGATGGGTTTTTTTTATACATTTATTTCTTCATGTTTTTTATTATTTTTTAGATTTTTCTTCATTTTGTTTTTCTTTGTTTTTTTTAGTTATTTCTTCATTTTTTGCTCATTCCGTACATTAATGGAGTGGATGTGTACTCGTCACTAGATACAAGCTTGGGGTGAGTCGTCTTCTGTCTTGGGATGAGTAGTCTTCTATTGGACCGTTCGATCCCTGCATTGGCCGAGAAAGTTCATCCCGATTTTCCGGCGTGGTTTCCCCTTGTCAGTGATGCAGGACGGAGGGCCTGACAAGGACAGCTGTCTAGTCGTTCGGATGGGTCGAAAACCGAGGTCCCGTGTACACATTGGCGTGCACGTAAAAGATCCCTTGGCAGTTGAATTCGATATAAGAGTAGGCCGTAGCGCCGCTGCCCGGGCAAAATTCCCCTCATAGCACACTGTATGGCGTATACCCGTCTTCATTAGCCCAGATTAGGAGCAGAACAGTAGGACGTTAAACCCCATTTCATTTCATTTCATATACTGCAAGTAATCGTCTACAAGAACACATCAGAACTCATACCGGACAGAAACCCTATTCTTGTGATATTTGTAGTAAATCTTTTACGACTAATACTAAAACTTGTCTAACTCATACCGAAGATAAACTCTATTCTTGTGATGTTTGTAGTAAATCATTTACGACTAATACTAAAACTTGTCTAACTCATACCGAAGATAAACTCTATTCTTGTGATGTTTGTAGTAAATCATTTACGACTAAAACTTGTCTAACTCATACCGAAGATAAACTCTATTCTTGTGATGTTTGTAGTAAATCATTTACGACTAATACTAATTTACGACTAATACTCGACTAACGCTTGTCTAACACGACACATGAAAAAATATACGGGAGGAAAACCGTTTTGTTGTGATGTTTGTAGTAAATCTTTTAGGGAAAAGGGTGCTCTGCAGACATACAATAGGATTCATACTGGCGAAAAACCCTTTTCTTGTAACATCTGTAGCAAATCGTTTACAACTGAAGGTTCTCTACAGGTACACATTACAACCCATACCGGAGTGAAGCCCTTTACTTGTGATATTTGTAGAAAGTCATTTTCTACGAGGGGTTCTCTACAGGTACATACTAGAACCCATACTGGTGAAAAACCCTTTTCTTGTGATGTTTGTGGTAAATCATTTATCACAACTGCTAGACTACAGCTACACATGCGAGTGCATATTGGAGGATAATCCAGTTCTTACGAACTTTTATAAACTGATCACAATTCGTTCGAATCAAGAGATATTATATTGAAGATATAATTATATTTATTTTGATGTGGACTTTCCAACCATAATTTTATCTGTAAATATTACATGAGTTGAAGGAGAAAATAAAATATATACAGAATGTGTTTAGTTGTTTTTTGTTAATACATCGTTTTATTGATCATGTACATAATTGTGTGTAGTTAGTTTATTATTAATACAACATGTAGGATATTCTACGAGATCACATCAGAATTCATACTGGGGAGACACCATATAAATGTGATATTTGTAGCAAGTCATATACTTCTAGTTATACTCTACGAGATCATATCAGAACTGATACAGTAGGACGTTAAACCCCATTTCATTTCATTTCATATACTACAAGTAATCGTCTACGAGATCACATCAGAACTCATACCGGACAGAAACCCTATTCTTGTGATGTTTGTAGTAAATCTTTTAGGGGAAAAGGGTGCTCTGCAGACACATAATAGGATTCATACTAGTGAAAAACCCTTTTCTTGTAATGTTTGTAGAAAGTCATTTTCTACGAAGGATTCTCTACAGCTAC